CTGGCATTGCCCTTGGGGGTTCCCCCCCCCCCCCCACCCCGCCCCCTTTTCCAAAGGTGTTGGTTTCCAAGGATTGGGGTTTTTTGGAACCCAGAGGTTTAAAGGGTTGTGTTTTTAAGTTCCGGGTACCCCCCCCCCCCCCCCCCCCCCACCCGCCCACCCTCCCAAGGTGCTAGTGTCGAAGGACTGGTGCTCTTTCGGACACCGATTTGCGGTGCGAGGGGGACACGGTCGCCAAGGGGCGGCCGAATCGTCACCTATCTTCCCGCAGTTCTTGGACGCCACTTACCAGCTCTTGAGGCAGTTCCCGGCGTCCTTCGAATTTTCCGAGAACCTTCTCCTGCTTCTCCTTCACGCGTACCACTCGAGGCGAGACGTTTTTTTTTTTTCAGCATGGCTTTTCCCCTTCCGTTTTCGCGTGTGTTTTTTTCTTCTCCCGATTGATAAAACAAATGAAGGACTGCCGAACAAGAAAAAAAAAAACGGAGGACTGCTGTTGTTCGGCGTCTTCTCATTTCTCCAGAAATTGAGACGTCGGGCAAAAAGGCGTTTCAATTTATGTTTTACGGCGGTCTCGCAACATGTTTCTGAGACCAGAGAAATCAGTTCACCCGCTCGCTGGGCATTAATTACCCGATGGTTCCCACCAAGAATGACAATGTTATCGTGAGATGTTTTCTCCGCGAACAATGACATAAAACGATGCTTCTCTCAAAAGGGACAAACCTAAATCGTCTCGAGAGCAGCCTCCTGGTGAAGCGCTAAGCAGCAAGCAAACTTGATTCCTCGCCATGCACGCACCACGCCCCCCCCTTAACCGCCCTCTCGCTCTCGCTCTCACTCCTGCCGGCTTTCGAGAAAAAAAAAAAACAGCCGGTTTTTCTCCTACTTTCTGCAAAGACTCTGTGTACGTCCCGTTAGAATGTGGTTATATCTCGAACGGGGACATACACAGTCTTTCTGTGATCACATGCTCTTAACACACAAACACACAGGTAATGGCATTTAGAAGTGTTTTGTGTTTTCAACCGCACTGAGACTGACGCCTCTTCATTGGTCAGCCGGTTAGCGCGGTCGACGCTAATTAAAAAAAAAACACACACACACACACGCACACATCCCACAGGTGGTTCAACGACTTCCTGCAAGACAGCGAGTACGAAAGAGCGCTGGCCCACGCTCGGTCCTCGCGGGCCGCCCCGATCGGCAACGGCAACGGCAACAACGGCGACCGGACCGTCTCCGTGTGGTCCCAGGTCCGCATCCGCCGAGAACTTTACGAAAACCTTCTCTGGGCCGGCGGCGGCGGCGGCGGCGGCGGGGCGGTGGCGCCGCGCCCGCAGCAGCAGCAGCAGCAGCAACGGCCGCTGGCGCGGGAGGCGGACGGGGAGGCGAGAGGAAGGGCCGTGCAAGGGGGGAGCGGCGCTCTCCTGGCGTCTGCAAGGGTCGGCGGCGGCAGCGGAGGTGGTGGCGGTGTAGATAGGTGGGGTGCCGGTTGTAAATGCGGCGCAGTTGACGACGACGACGACAACGCGGAGGCTGGCGGACATCGGCCGCGGCGGCGGCGCGTTCCTTCCTCTTGGCGGAGGGAGAAGGAGATGGAGAGAGAGCGCTTGCCGCCGCCCCTGTGGCCGGCGTGCGGGGTTCGGTCCCTCGCCGTTTGGCGGAGCGCGTGGGCGAGCCGAGGCCTACAGGTGTGAGAAACCGGCAGAAGAAAAGCCGTCTAAATCTCCTCTCTCCCTCCTGTTGTCTTGGCTCGCTATTGTTCTTTCCCGTCTAAATGCTTAATTTTTTTTCCCCCATGTCTGCGTTAGAAGTGCTATGTGTTGCCGTGTCTACGTAACGAGCTTTAAGTTTTTTTTTTACCGTCTCTTGTGTAACGAGCTGAAGGTTTTCTTAACCATGTCTGCCGGAAAAGATTAAAAAAATCGTCTACATCCCCCTGGATGTGCTTGTTGTGGGAGCTTCCATTTTGGAAGCATGAACTCTTGCGTATGTGGAACACGCTTGGTCGCCCCCCCCCCC